CGATAGTAAGATATTATCGAAAGTGATATTATGTTCTTTTCATACTGAATGCGAGTGTTTTATTACTTAAATTTTTAGAGGATGAGATTGAAATTGGGAAGGAAGAAATCATCCGATTACGGGAGGAATTAAAAGTAGAGCAGGAGCAACTAAAATTCAAGACGGAATATGATGAATTAGCGCGAGCTATTCAGCAGCACACTTCGCGTCAAGAACTAGAGGCGTATGTTGATCTTTGATATTTACAATCAATATGTCAAATATTAATTAGGGAATTTTTTTAATCGTATTTTCATGCAGAGATATCAAACAATTGGATCAAGAAATTGCTGAACTCGAACAAAAAGTACGAGAAAAAGATGAAACTCTATCTAGACGACGAAATCAAATAGAAGGAATATTATCGACTGTTACTCGTGTTCAAGAAGAAATAAGAGAAGAGAATAATCAAGAGGAGCGGTTGACAGTTTCCTCTCAAGTAACCTCAACAGAATCAATAATTAGTCATAGTCAAAGTCATAACCCTAGTCCTATACCCGTACCCACATTACCTTTATCCACTCCTACACTTGTTTCGAATGGTATCAATGGGCATGAAGATGATGCGCTTATACAAGACACGGTTGAAAATGAAATTGAAGATAATATCTCCCCTTCACATCGGGAAATTCCAAGCTCACATTCACCGCCGGATGAAAATCAAGCCAACACAGATAATTTTGAAAATAATGTGGATCGTGAGGAGGGTGAGACTTTGATTGAAGAGGGTGAACATGAAGAAGGAGAAAATAACCAAACAATATCTGAATCAGAAGAAGGACAGAATCAAGAAGAGGATAGACGCACCGCCGAGAACGCTTCTATTCAAGAAACTATCAGTCCCCAAGAAAGTTCTAGTTCTAGTCCGCATGAAGTTCTTAGTCCCGAGAATGCTAGCCAACCAGCAACTATTACTCCGCCTGAAAATGCCACCCCTTCTACTGCTGTTAGCCCAATTGAACATGAACAGGCTAGCTCAACAGTGACAGCTAGTCCACAAGGATCCGGGGATCATGGAGGAGAAACGGTCATTGATGTGGAAATAGAGGAGGAGGAAGAAGAGGAAGAAGAGGTATTTGAAGCACCTAATATCTCCCTAAAAAGAGGTCATGAGGAAGAGGAGGAGGATGACGACCATAAATCTGTGGCATCATCATCAACAACAAGATCATCAAAAAGAAGTCGTCTTGATGATCAAGACAACGAGATTGGCCGTGGTGGTGACGATTTGGGGGAAGAAGAGGAAGGTGCCGTTAAGATGGATGAATAGAAAAGTATATAAATTAACATTCGAACATTTAGATTTCAATGTAGCATTCCAAAATTTATATTAGAAAAGACGGCAATATTTAATATCTCTAATTAATATTAACAATATGTCAATAAAACGCGAATTTAGCTTTGTAAAATTATCGTTATTATTAAAATTTGTTAGACGCGTCTATTCATCAAGTATCACATGTTCTGATCATCTTATAAAAAAGTATTTTCATTCATACACAAATTTCACAATGGCTTCAACAATTAATCCCCAAAACGAACAAGAAACCTCGTATCAAAGAGCTTATAACGGACCCTATGGCACCTTTGCCAAAATTTTTCTTCGTCCTGATATTAACTTCGATTATCTAGAAGAGGTAGCCTCGGACTTACTCTCTTCCGAAAGAGAGCATGGTGAAAGATATACAATTGATGCGGGATTTCGTATTTTTCTATTGTTTTTTAATGTGAGCATTGCAAAGCTTGCAACACGAGAATCTTCTTCTATTGAGAAGGTTACTTGGGTCCGTACGTTGCTTCGAGTTTTTAAAAGTCAGGATTTTCTTGGTCTTGTGAGTGTTGGAGGTCTTTTGTATGTAAGTTTACTTAATGTCGAGTCAATTCAAACATTGTGACCTGTATATTTATTTTTTGTTTTGATTGAAAGGAGAGGCTATCAATTACATAAAGCAAATCAAAAAAGAAGAATCGTTGGAGAACTTATCAGTGAGGTGGAAGATGTATTTATGGAATTGCTTGATAAGATTCTTGATGAACATTTTGAATCTGCTGATGGTAGTGTATATATAGAATCTAGGTTATCATCTTGTCTTATACTTTCTCTTAAGTTCTCGATCCTCTAGATGATATAAAAGACACGATTGCATTTCTTTGCGGTCGATGCCTCGCATCCATTCCTACTAGGAGATTACAGCATTTGCGAAAAAAGGTATGAATTATAGTATACATAATACAATAGATAGTTGCTATTATGATTCTTCAAGTCTGAATTGTTTTCATTTTATGGATTTAGACAAAACTTTTAGAGCTTATCATAAAAGTAATTATAAATAACCCGCGCACTTTTCAAGGGGGACAATTTATTAGAGACATTACTGAGGAAATTGGGGCACATAAAGAAATAAAATGGACGGTAATATCGTATCTTTAATATGAGAACTAGTTACCCGATTCAGCATCTAAATCAAAATATCAAAATATTTTTATCTATTGATAGAAAGAGTTTCAGTCGTATAAAAATTTACAAACCCTAAGTAAACAAGCTCCTTTCACTGAAATGGGGCCAATATCAAGAGCGGTAGGCAAACTGATCAAGATTGACGAGAAGGAAGATTTAATTAACATTCTTTACCAGTAAGCGCATTTTATTCTAAAAATTCCATCCATATTATGTTTACTTATATATGATGTTTTTAGTATCAGTGATTTTGCCCATAATTTGTATCTTTTATGGGAGAAATGTCCACTCAGTCGAATTGTTAATGAAGAACTTATGGGTAATTATAGTTTTAAATGCGAAAAATTTTGAATTCCTCGAAATTATTGTTAAAATTATGATTATCATTAGACGGTGAAACAAAACAAGCTACGCCATTGCTTTGGCATATTTTTAAAACAATTCTTTTCACAATTACGATGATATTCAAAGCTATTGTGGACAATTCGCTCGTAAAGAATGGATATTGTGATAAAGGGGAAGGTGAGATTCATTAGTTATATAATATGTGGAAGTTTTCTAATAAAGTGTCTTATTATTATTCTTTTTCTTCGTCACAGAAAAAATAGATATGTTGTTGACTTTTTCACATCTTTATTTCATCACAATTCGTTTCGATTTATATGGATTTCCTGTATACAAAGAAATCTTCTTCAATATCTTGAATCAATTAATGGAAACTTCTCTCTGCAATGAAGTTCTCGATATCCTCAAACCTATTGAGGTAGACAGCCCTATGGCTGAAATCTGTTTAGTTTTTTATTTTCTTGTGGCTGAACAGGTGATGAAAGTACTTGAAGATGAGATAGTCGAACAAAAGCTATTACCTACATTATGCCCGTATGTTTTTTATTTCCAAGTGAATCTAATAAATTCGGATATAGTTAATCTTTAACGAAACATAAATTATCTAAAGATACCTTACAGATAATTCGAAGATATATTTGTTTGAATCGGCGCATTCAACAGTGTTGGCGATTTATGTCACTCAAAAAAGGATTTCTAGAGATTTCAGTTCTTACTATTCGAATTTACTGCTTGAGGTAATAATTAAAAGATTTTTCGTGTCATTAAATATATCCATTAATCGATCGATATTCTCTTTGATCAAGGGATATCCTGCGTACCTTTCAATTGAACAACTTCGGGCTGCCTATGCCACTATGATTAAATCTTTATCGGAAACTGATGATGCTTTAGTTTGGTACTGTCTAGAAAGTCTATTGAATAAAATAGAAAGTCTTCCAACTTCAAATTTAGAACTTTCAGAACAGAAATCTACTAATATCACTTATACCACTAAGACCAATGAAAACGAAACGAAAGAAAGTTCGGAATCTGGCTCATCAGATTCCATCACTACTACTACTGCTGGGACAAATAATAACGAAACGAAAGAAAGTTCGGAATCTGATTCATCAAATATATATCCAAATGCTAGTGAAAAAGATGCTATTTCAGCAGCGTTATACCTTCAACGCGGCCATCTTCTGCTTACTTTAATCGATCAAGTGGGAACAGTCAACCTAATTTTTCTGGAGACTTTATTATTCAAAATTAAATATTTGATATCATTGGAATCAAATGGAATAGCGAAAAGTGCACTCCAGAAAGCATTATTTGACGTGTTGAGCAAAAATTTGGATTATACAAAAAAAGATGCGGGTGTAAAATGGTGGTTAAATGAAGGACGAGAAATTACAGGGGACATTCAATCTTAGATTTTCTTTTGTATTGAAAATAGTATAGGTAACTAAATCCGTAATATAATACATGATTTTAATTCAAAAAGATATTTTTGTCGCAATGGACCCTTCGACATCATTAAATTTTTGAAGATTTCCACTGCTATTTAGAAGTGACATCACTACTTTGTATTTTGCGCGAATACGTTCAAGAAGTTTGTGAACCTCAACATTACGATTATTTTCTAATGGAAATTGAGCAATTAGACCGTGGAGAGACTCTAATTGCTTTATTGTCCTATAATGTCGAAATAAAAATTTTACATTAGGAGTTCAGCCAAAAAAGATAGTGATATTTCTACGGTACCGTTCATTGAAACTTTTATTCTTAGAATCTCCTGAATATTGCGAAACTATTCGAGACCATGTCTCAGTCACTCCCTTGTAGAAACCAACCTCTTGAGCAAGACGAAAGCCATGTGTAGAACCTAATACGAAGCCTTCGAGCATCCCGGCAGATTTTCCGTCTCGCAGACCATCCTCCCTACCATGCTCTAGAAACCTAAAGGAAAATGATAAATAAGTATGCAAGATTATGAAGAATATAAATTTAATTCTTTTTACATGTTTTCTAGGTGAACCAAGTCATCCAGATCTAAATCAATATCATTTGGTTGTGTCATCGTGAGTTCGAAAAACTTAAGGGTAGGGTCTTTTACACATATATTAACTATTTTGCTTATTTTTAATGTATTTAAACCTACAAAGAATTTTACAAGAAACTTAAATTCGATTGCAAGGTGCCTATTCACTTTCGGGAATGCTTATTACCTGTTTTAACTTTGATAATTCAAATTATTATTTTATTAAACTTGGAAACAATCTTATTATTTTCTTTAGAAATATGATAAAAATGAGTTTATTAATGCTAAATGCTTTTTTCTTGACGGATTTCAATTAGAATCAGATGCTATTTTTCAATCTGATTATCTTTGCAATCCAGATAAAGATGATTGCACGGTGTTTATAATATTAAAGTTTGCATTTAAAATATTCTTATGCTATTTTAAATTTATTACGAGTTCGTTTACAGGTTAGACTGACGACTCGAGCGAGAAATAAATAATGATTTCGTGCAACTTGCGAAAATCGTATTGCCGTTACTTTCATGCAGTCAACTTGACGTCTTTAATGGTAATGATCCATAAAAACTGATATAAATCAAGGAGAATTTATATTTTGATAATTCTTATAATAAAGAAATTATTTATTATAATTAATAAATGATCAGACTTAAAAAAATAATACAAGCATTAAATATTAAATTAAATAAGTTATAAAGAAATTGAAAATAAATTAAAAGTAATTAAAAATACTTATATCAATCTCTAAATATTTATAGATTAAAAAACTTATTTAAAAATGAATTCTGATTATTATGATAATATATTAATTTATTATTTTTAAAATAATTTATTTTTGATCATAAAAAAATAATAATAATAAATTAATAATAATATAAATTCAGATTTTGAATATTAAATTATTGAAAATTATTAAAAAAGCATAATTAAAATTTATTATTCTTATTAATATTTGATTTTAAATTATCTTATTTACATATTTTAATATAAATTTTGCAAATCAAACTCTAAAATTAAAGTTATAAATTAAAAATTTATATTATAATTATTTTATTTTTTGTATTTAATAAAATTAATATAGTTAGATCTTTTTATAATTATCTTTTTTATAATTATCTTTTTTGAGTTTTTTAATTATTAATTAACTATAATTAAAAAAACTCTTTATATTTCTTTATAATCATTTACAGTGGCAATCAAAAATAATGCAATGCTTAAATTTTTTACTAATTATAATTAGTAAAATACGTATTTTTTCTTACATATAAAAGTTTT